TTAACATTTTTATTTTATGCCATTTTGGTCAGTTTACATTCTTATTTCTACACACATGTATTACTTTTCAAATAAGAAAGCATTAATTGGAGTCGTGAAATTTTATGATGATATTTGAACAGAATGAATGTGTGTGTCTCAAATTGGAGCAAAAATACTTCTCAGTACCTTACACAATGTCTCTTAGACAAGATACCAAAATACAATCTGAGTTTAAGCCCAGTTAATTAAAAAAAAAAAAAAAACCACTAATATCCTAATGCTTTCTCTAGTCAGATTTAGAGTTCTGTACTTTTGTAAACTTTTCCTCTTCTTCTTGGCTGACGAGAAAGTTAGAGCAAAGATCAGTGCCCCAGTTCTATCAATTCATGTTGGATATCTGTTCACCTCATTCCCTCTGCTATAGTTTAGATGATATCTGTTCATTCTATTTCTAACTGTCTTATTTTGTATTATGCCTAATCTCATAAGCCACTTCAATTTTTTTGAAAAACAGGAAGGATGTAAATTCTAAACAAAAAAGATAGAACAAAATATCATGTGGCTCCCAATGCAATCCCTCCCCCCTCCCCCCTCCCCCCTCCCCCCTCCCCCCTCCCCATGATGGGCCCCGGTGTGTGATGTTCCCCTTCCCGGGTCCGGGTGATCTCATTGTTCAGTTCCCAGCTGTGGGTGAGAGCATGCGGTGTTTGGTTTTCTGTTCTTGTGATGGTTTGCTAAGAATGATGGTTTCCAGCTGCATCCATGTCCCTACAAAGGACACAGACTCATCCTTTTTTATGACTTTCTGGGTGCTTCTAACAATCACCTTGTTTCTTGTTCTTTCTTATTCCAGGACAAGTCTGCATGTGCTTATACAAGGGATGAGAACTTATCATTTTAATTACTCATACGAATATCTCAAGTCAAATTGACTCAGGAAAGTCATGATCTTTGTAAACTCTCATTTGGAAAGGATTTGACTTAAATAATAGCAATGATGATGTTTAACAGAAATGCCTTTAGATAACAACGTTGTAGTTTATTGAAAAAAGCACTATATTGATAATCAGTAAACCTCGGTCTGATACTGAGTAGTTGTGAGTTATTCAATAAAATTAAGAAATTGTTTGATATTTGCATAAAAAAAAAAAAAAAAAAAAAAGAAACTTTTAAGAAACTCTCTAATGAACTAAATGCAGCTGTTTTAGTTAAAAATTGGTAAAATACAGGAATTTTACATTAAAAACACAAAATGAAAAAGAGTAGTAGTGCTCATGTGCAATTTATAATCATTATTAATAAATTATAATTATAAATAATTTAATAGATACATAATTATAGATTATATAATAGATATATAATAGATTATAAACAAGTAAAAACCAAAATCAATATAGTGTTTTCAAATACTTTTTCAAAGTCACAATAGAAAAGGCCTACACATTAATTATTTTAAAAAACAAATTAGGTTAAAATTTACTAATTCTCTCACTTCATATATGTATATACACACACATATATATACATGCACTTATTTTCTTCACTTGCCAGAGCCAATTTTTAAATTGAGTTAACTATACTTGGGTTTATCTCTTTGTCGTGCACACCATTAATAGCCTCACTACTGAAATAAGTTAGTTCTTTATTATTCCCCCTAAGGCAACAAGAGGCTGTAATTATTTTGTGAATCATTTTATCTTTAATTAATTTGTGTTGTCTCTTACATTAAATTTAGTAGTGATAAGGTTGAATTGGAGTTTCTGTTTATAGGTTTTGTAAGCAGAGCTTTTGACTCACAATTTTCTGATTAATTAAATGAAATATTATTAGGTAATGATTCACACGCTGGAAAAAATAAAGTTCTATCCAAATATAACTGCTACTCTTTAAAAGTATATCACAATTTGTTATTATTGCCATTTTTCAGAAATGATAAGCTTTGATTCTCATTCACTATGCTATCTTTAAAAATAGATCAGCTGAGCTTAAGAAAAATTCATCATTATTCAACACTTCTCTTTGGCCAGAATGATTTTAGCCCTATTCAGGCAAGCTCAGAAAGCACTTCCACTGCAGGAAATTGAAACCTTGGTTTGTGTTTAAACTCAAAAACTAAATCACCCTTGTAGTAATCATTCTAGTCTTTCCCCAATTAGTTGCACAAACAATTCTATAAAAATCAACCAGTCTATGCAATGATATAATTTAATAATTTATCAAAATGATAAAATGACCAGAAGTAAATCAACTACACATAGGTCATTTTTAGCTAATGTAGATTCATATTATTATAAGTATTAACCTATTAAAAATAATGTAACCAAGGATATTCATAAATGTATATATTATTTATATTATCTTCACTCGTAAAACTTAGTTCTTAAAAATTCAGATATAGGCCGGGTGCAGTGGCTCATGCCTGTAATCCCGGCACTTTGGGAGGCAGAGGCAGATGGGTCACCTGAGGTCAGGAGTTCAAGAAAAGCCTGACCAACAAGGTGAAACCCGATCTCTACTAAAAATACAAAAATTAGCTGGGCGTGGGGGTGGCACCTGTAGTCCCAGCTACTCCGGAGGCTGAGACAGGATAATTTCTTGAACTTGAAAGGCGAAGGTTTCAGTGAGCCAAGATCGTGCCATTGCACTCCAGCCTGGGCGATGGAGCAAGACAATGTCTCAAAAAAAAAAAAAAATCAGATTACTAGAAATTAAAGAATATATAAATAAAACAATAAAATTTATTCTTTTATGCCATTCTATTGTTTTCCTATCAAAAGTATATAATACAATATATTTAAAAATCCAATAAATAACTATTTTTAATTACTTAACATGATGATTGATAGTTGTTTTGAGTCTCTCTGCAACATCTAACAAATCAGTCACCAATTGTTGCAGAAGTTCATGGTAGGAACTCAGCATTTGCAACTTCCCAGTTACTCCTTGGCATCCTCCCAGGCCTCTCCTTCTAGCTGGGGCTACCAACCCAGAACTTTCTGGTTCAACCCCAACCCAGTATCTTGAACCAATTCTGAGCTTAAGCAGAATAGGCCTATCCTGACATTCTGAAATTTACTATAAGATTATTGGTGCCATTTATTTTGCAACTCAGAATTGTTTTAGGCTTTTCCTTATAACCCAGAATTTTAGTCTTGATTATCCTGCATGGCTTGCTGTGTTTGTGTACATTTACTCTTTGATTTTGTTACCTAGGACACTATTGATTTGATTTATATTCTACTCCTAGTTACTGACTCTCACCATACACCCAGTCTAGGCTCCTTTGCTCAGACTCCTCTAAGAGGGAAGAATTAGATAATAAGGGAAGTAGACAAATGAGATATTTTATCCATTATTGATAGATTCACAAAGATATCCATCCCAGGTCCTTTGCCTGTCTTTCTCTTAGCAGGGAGGATTGTATAGTAAAGGAAGGAGACATATGAATAATTTTTCATCACTTTCAGTAGACTACCAAAGATCCACGACCTTTATTGGAAACAAGGCACTTGTTAGGTAAGCAGTGTCTAGGCAGCTGTTTAATGGGTACATTCCAAAACAGCATCTTGTCTTCTCCTTGTCATCATGTGCAAAGTAAGTCTAATTATGTGATATAGTACTTTAGGCAGAGTGTATTGCCTAATGATAACAACAATAGCTCCCATTCCACCTCCTCTTGTGCAATATGAACTTGGTACTCCCCCATTGGAAAGTAGAATCTATTGCTCCACCTCTTTGGGTCTGATCAGGCCCTCTGCTACTTTGGCCAGTAGAATACAATGGAAGTGATACTGCTCCAGTTTCACCATAGCCCTTAATTGGTCTAAAAGGGTCCAATTCGTGCATCTTGAAAGTCAGCTACTGTGTTAGCAGTGTGAGTACCTTGTACCACCATGCAACAAGAAGCCCAAGCCATGTGAAGAGGCCAGGAAGATGAAATACAATGTGGAAAGAGAGAGGCCAAGAAGCACCAAAGCATTAGATATGTGCATGAGAAACCTACCTTGGATGGTCCACCCAAGAAAAAGGAGTTTGCAGATGATTCTAGTTCTAGCTGCTATCTGGGTGTGACAACGAGCAACACCCTGAGAATGTACCACCTAAGCCTAGGCCATCCACAGAATCATGGGAAATAGTAATGTTACTGTTTTAGGTTACTATAGGGGGTGTTGTTACGTAGACAACCAGAACTGTGCTATTCATAAATTCAAGGTTTTATAAAGTCTTACTCTTCACTGCCAAGGCTTCATTGAATATTTATAGGTTAAAATATTTGAAATTATAATTTCCCAAATAATGCTCTAAATATAAAGCCACTGAGCAATATGTAGATGGACAGTTATCAAAAGATGATTTAGAAAAATGACATAGAACAATAAATTTTAGTGGCTCTCCACCTTCTTCGACTGGAATATATCTGAGGGATACAGCACATTACTATCAATTGCATCAATTACTATCAACAACAACTGGAGTTTTAGCTTAAAAAGACCCAAAGACTATTTACTGTCAGATCCTTCAGTAATCATTATGAAAATATTAAATAAAAAATAACCATATTCACACTTTCTTGTCCATAGTGAACAGTGCTTGGTGAGTTTAAAGAGAGACTTTTCAGTGATACTTATTTATATAATTTCTTTTTTTATTATTATTACATTTCATGTCCTAGGGTACATGTGCACAATGTGCAGGTTTGTTACATATGTATACCTGTTCCATGTTGGTGTGCTGCACCCATTAACTCATCATTTACATTAGATATATCTCCTAATGCTATCCCTCCCCGCTCCCCCCACTCTACAACAGGCCCCGGTATGTGATGTTCCCCTTCCTGTGTCCAGGTGTTCTCATTGTTCAATTCCCACCAATGAGTGAGAACATGCGGTGTTTGGTTTTCTGATCTTGCAATAGTTTGCTGAGAATGATGGTTTCCAGCTGCATCCATGTCCCTACAAAGGACATGAACTCATCCTTTTTTATGACTGCATAGTATTCCATGGTGTATATGTGCCACATTTTCTTAATCCAGTCTGTCATTGATGGACATTTGGGTTGGTTCCAAGTCTTTGCTATTGTGAATAGTTCTACAACAAACATAAGATGATGGTCATCTTTAAACCAAGCTTTATGTTCAGACGTTTGACTAGCTCTACCCATGGTGAAATGCAGTTTGTGAAATTGTGACATTCACAATCCCAAATCCACTTCTTTCCAGCTGTATGACCTTGGATAAGTTCTTTAATTTATTTGTGCCCTAGTTTCCTCATCTGAAAACAAAAGGAATAATAATAGTATCTACCCCCTAAAGCGATAAGGAGGATTAAGTGAGTTAATAATGCATAATAACAGTTTCTGGAAGTAACATCATTTAAATGTTAGCTTCATTTTTTTTATCTCATTCATTATATTAGGAACACCTGATTGTAGAGTGGCCATAACAAATCCTGGTATCAAATGGATTTCACTAGACAAATAGTCTAAATTCTCCTTAGAGTTAGATAAATTGAAAGTACTTATTATATAGGATTCTAAGTAGTGATTATTCCTATCACTCTTTTGATCAGTCTTATCAAAAGCAAGCAGAGCACTTTAATTCCAACTTATTGCATAACTTTTAAGGAAGATACACTAACCCAGAAATGTCAAGTTGAGTTGACTTAGTGAATTAGTACATTGCCTCATCCAAAATGAACACCATGATCCCAGTTAACTTGATGAGGAGTTTCAGCTGGACTTTCAGTTTCTTTTAAAGGGGAGTAAAGCTGTTCATTGAAATGTACTTTGCCTGGTCAAATATTTGATGCAGTAAAAAGCAATCATAAAAGGTGAAACTAAGACTCAGATCCCATGCCAATCATTCTAAAAAAGCAAGCACCAAAGACAGTTTGCTAGAGTTTTGCCATTTTTTAAGAGAATATCATACAGATGCTATATTCATAGTTTATGCTTCATGATTCAGTGCTTTTTCCTGCTAACTACTGAAACTGAGAAGCTCAACATTCACACACACACACACACACACACACACACACACACAAATACTACTAACAATGACAGAATTGAAAGTTCTTTATCCAACATCCATTCTTCCCTTCAGCCTTAGTAAATGAATTACAGTTTAAAAAACAGCAACTATGTATTATAAACATTTATTTTCATTTAAAATGTATAAGCAAAGAGTACTTATTCTACTGTCTTTTGATGCAGTGCCAAAGTCTTTTCTTTGAATGGCTCCATCGATTGTAATTCTCCATTGTCTTTCTTTCATAAATCACTCTCATAATTCATCTTCTACAATGTCCAGTTCCAGTGTCTTTGAAGAGAAAAGAAGACATTTGTCAGGGAACTAATGCATATCCTTTCATAGTTTGACAATTTTTTTCCAGACTTTCACAATTGCCTCCCCACATCTAATTTGACAATATTTTTAAAAAATAAAATTTGCCTTCATTGTGTATTTCCAAAGAATAAACTTTATTTTCATTTCAACTACTTTAATTTTTACTCACTTGAATATTACAGGTTTAGATAATATTTGTAAAAATACATAATTCTATCTAAATGTCTGAAATACACAGGTTTGGGAGCAAATATAACTGGATCTTACCAAGCCAAAAAAAAAAAAAAAGTACTGAATAAGTGGGAATAAAAGTGAGCAGTCACATTTGAGATGAGCCTCATAATTGTCAGGGTTCAGCATGCACATTCATCATCAGAATATCTGACAGACATAATGTAAAGTTTAGGTTTATCTCTTAGTTTGGTGCAAAAGTAATTGCAGTTTTTGACATTACATTATGGCAAAACTGCAATTACTTTTGCACCAAACTAGTAGCAATGATTAAGTAGAAGTTGCATATGAGATATTTCACCCCTAAAGATATTCTATAGATTTTTCAAAAAATATTCACCACCCTCTTCTTAATCATAGAAAATATCTTTAAAATATGTCTATTTCTAAAGCAGACTATCTTACTGTTTTTCGATGTTGGTGTTTATAAAGAATAATAAACCCTTGAGACAACATATTCACGTGTCTTTATTCCTAGGAGGATAATCAGCTATTAGTCACTGTTATGGGTTAAATTGTGACCCTCAAAAAGTCATATGTTGAATTTCTAATCCCAGTACCTCAGAATGTGACCCAATTTGGAAAAAAGATCATTGCAGGTATAGTTAGTTGAGTTCATAGTAGAGTAGGGTAGGCCCCGAATCCAATATTACTGGATTGTTGTCCTCATACAACGGGGAAACTTGAAGATAGACACACACCCAGGATGCATACCATGTGAACATAAAGGTAGAGATAGAGGTGATGCACCTACAAGCCAAGGAATGCAAAGATTTCCATCAAACACTGGAATTCTGTTGTTTCAGCCACTCAGTTTGTGGTACTTGGTTACAGCAGTCCTAACAAACTAATACAGTCCATCTTTAGATCAATATATCCTTAGGTTACAGTCATATTAAGCTTAAATGTGACTTCATCTGGTTTCTATTTATATCCTTCGCTGCAGCTTCTTACATATTTGTCAGGTCTTCTCTTGTCTAGGTAGGTAGCCTCTTGACTTGAAAATGTTTCTTCATATGATATTCTTTCACTACCCTGGTCTCTCTTCTAATGCATTCCTAAAAATACAGTATTTTACATAAAATTAAAAATAGCATGTGGCCTGCCTAATGCAAAGTAAGGCAAAGAATAAATCACCTTTCTTCCAAATATGATTTTTTTTGTAATGACACAGCCCAGGGTGCAAAAATGGCAGCACATTAAACTACTTACCCTCACTGAACAAAAATCTTAGTTTCCACACATGCTTTTTCTAAGCCATGTCTCTTCTATATTCTGTCTTTGTTGGAGCTGGTATTTTTTTTATCCAATGATAAAACTTTAATGTTTAATCCTGAGAAACTTCATTTTGCTGCTCTGCCACATCATTCTAGCACACCAATTTAGCTTGGAACCTGATTCATTTAGTTAAGTCATTAGAAAAAAAAGTTGAAATGTACAGGGAAAGGATAGATTCCCTAAGCCACATTACTAGAAACTTTCTCCAAGCCAAGTTTATCTGTTACGTAGCAATCTGGGATATATTTTATCAAACAGTTTCCAAGAAATGTAGCTGTACTAACACCACGTGCATATCTCTTCACAAGTTTAAAGAAAGGTTCTATTACTTTAATAAATACAGATACATATCTCTATCCTTCCCCTGATCTACCAGCCTAACAATTCTGTCAAGAAAAAGAACATGAAGCTAGTTCAGCATCACTTGTTTTTGGAGAAACCAGGCTGAGTCTTCGTGATCTCTGCTAAGTAATGTAACACATTTCTTCATTTCTTAAGAAATTGACTTCCAAATTTAGCTGAAATCACATTAGAATTCATTATATGACTTTTTCTTCATAAATCTAAATGAACTGCAAAGTTTAACATTTCAATATAATCATGATAAAATTAAATCTTAGTTCATTTTAGAAAGTTAACTTGAAATTGCCTAAAGAATGAATAAAGAGTGCATTTTTCAATGAAAAATGTTTCTAGCTTGCAGTAATGCAGTTTTTTCAGTCATATAAATAGAAGCTACCAAATATGCTTTTGAAAAGAGATGATTTATTTCAGAATCGAATTACTGACTTAGAACTTCAGTGTTGTCTTCTTTACAGACATTTAGCGTACTTTATCCTAATCTTACTTCTAATACTTCATTTATACTTTTTCCTTTGATTCATTCCCTCAGCTCCTTCTACAACTTTGTTTAAAATATCTCCTGCCCCCTCCCTTTAAAATGCACAGTCTATCATTTCCTATCCCCTTCCTTTATTTCCTTTATGACACTTATCTTGGCATTATTGATATTCATATATTTTCCATCTCACTTGCTAGAATGTAAACTACACAAGAATAGGAAGTTTATCTGTTGCTTTAACAGCTACATACCCAGGTTTAGAACAGTACCCAGCACATAGTGACTTCTCAGCAAATACTTGCTGGATGAGTGAATGAAGGAATGGAGAGAAGTTCCAATGATACTATTAAGTAAACATTTCACAACCAGAATACTAAGAGAAGAATGTAGGCAAGAGGTGGTAACTGAAAACACCAAATCACAGTTGAGATAAAACTCACCTATACATGCTACAAACTTAATTAAACATAACATTGTGTAATTTAAATTGCATCTAATATTTTAGATACATGTTTACTCTTTTAGAACTATAACCCACAACTATAAAATAATATAATAGTTCAACAACTCTAAATATCACATAAATTTCCTAATAAAATGCAGCCAAAATGCCACTACATTTGTAAAAAAAACTGTTTATTTTCTCATTCAATATATAATTTCCTTCTTTAATTCAAATATTCAAATAACCTGATGGAAGAAGCATAGTCTCTGCTGCCCATTCTCACTATCTATTTACCCATTTCCCCCTTATTCCCACTCTCATCACCCCATCTTCACTATGCTGGAATTCACTCCCTTCTATATATCCTTTTTGTCTATGTTATGAATAATTATCTTTTAAAATCAGAAAAAGAAATCAATTATTTAAATGAGTAGTTATTTAAATAAATGTCTGATTTTTGTTTGGTTTCAGTTTACAACACTTTTCTTTGTTTATATTGTTATCATTGTGTTTAGTATTGATTTGAAACAAATAATGCCTTGAACAGCAGATATTTGACTGCCATTCTGCTACTGAAAAGGCCTCCATGTGTCCAATGGTTCATTTAAAATAGACAAAAATGTGGTTCTATTAAATATTTCCATAAAACTGTGTATAAAAAATTGGGCTGTCTTCAATGAAATGTGTGAAAATATATAGAATCTACTTTAATGCAGTGGTTAAATTGAACCAACCAGCCAAACTGACTTCTAAATAAGCAGCTGATGGAGATAGATAGATAGATAGATAGATAATGTAGATATATAAATATATAATTTATTAATCAAATGATTCCAGTGTTAAGTAAACAGCTAGTACATTGCAATGTAAAAGCACATTACAGTTTACAAAATACTCTACATAGCTTCAATTCCAATATGAGTTACTATGTCACTAAATGCCACTTTTGGAATCCAAATTTATCCACAGTGTCCCCAACCTTTGCATTATCAAGGCAGTTCTTACAACGTTGAACCCTCAAAAAGCCTCATCTGCCACAAATAAATCAGCTCTTCAAGACAACAGAGCAATATGACTGACCCACAGCTGGTATCATACTGAATGAAAAAAAACTGAAAGCCTTTCCTCTGAGATCTAGAACAAGACAAGTATGCCCACTCTTACCACTGGTACTGAACATAGAACTGGAAGTCCTAAGTAGGGAAATCATACAGGAAGAAAAAATGAAGGACATTAAAATTGTAAAAGAAGAATTCAAGTTATTCTTGTTTGCAGATGATACGATTTATATTTGGAAAAACCTAAAGACTCCACAAGAAAACTATTAGAACTGATAAATTCAGTAAATTTGCAGGATACAAAATCAACATACAAATAGCAGTAGCATTTCTATATGTCAACAGTGAACAATCTACAAAAGAAATCATAAAAGTAATCCCATTAACAATAGCTACAAATAAAAATGAAACTCTTCGGAAGAAACTTAATCAAAGAAATAAAGATTCCACAATGAAAACTGTAAAATATTGATGCAAGAAATTGGAGAAAACACAAAAAAAGTAAAGATATTCCATCTTCATGAATTGGAAGACTGAATATTGTTAAAATGTCCATGCTACCCAACGCAATCTACAGATTCAGTGTAATTATTGTCAAAATACCAATGACATTCTTCACAGAAATAGAAAAAAAAAATTCTAAAATTTATATGGAACTGCAAAAGACTGAGGATAGCCAAAGTTATCCTGAGCAGAAAGAACAAAACTGGAGGAATCACATTATCTGATAAAATGGTTTTGGTCTGTGTCCCCACTCACATCTCATCTTGAATTGTAATCCCCATAATGGCCACATGTCGAGGGAGAGACCTGGTGGGAGATGATTGGATTATAGGGGCAGTTATCTTGATGCTGTTTTCATGATAGTAAATTCTCATGAGATCTGATGGTTTTATAAGTGTCTGACAGTTCCTCCTTCACATGCTCTCTCTTGCCTGCCACCATGTAAGATGTGCCAGCTTCCCCTTCTGCCATGATTGTAAGTTTCCTGAGGCATCCCCAGCCATGCAGAACTCTGAGTCAATTAAACCTCTTTTCTTTATAAATTACCCACTCTCAGGCAGTTCTTTATACCTGTCTGAGAAAGGACTAATACACCTGACTTCAAATTGTACTACAG